GTCAAATGGAATCATAAAAACTTTAAGAAAGAATATTTCTTCGACATTCTGCAGCCTGAAGTTATAATCCTAGGTCAGTGGAAGCATCCCCGTCTTGTGAATTTCATTGGATATTGCTGCGAGGATGATCAGATGCTTCTAGTGTACAAGTACATGGAACAAGGCAATCTGAAAGTACATTTATTTCAAAGTGAATTGGTAAAACCATACAAAAGTTGAAAAATGATTGTTATAGAGATGCAGATTACTAACAATATGAGTACTGTTTAGTGCCCTACAGAGTATTGTGGAGCCTTGCCTTGGTTAACAAGAGTGAAGATTCTACCTGGTGCTGCGAAAGGCCTTGGTTAACAAGAGTGAAGATCATTGTGCTCTCTAAATTCTACTCTGCAATGATTTGAAATCACAAAAGTGAAAATATTTTTTTCTGTGAAATGGCTTTTGTACCTTTCAGGTTACAAGTCTGCTGATTCGAATGCAGCAGCTACATGCTAACCCTTGTGATGTTATGGAGGTGTTTTATATTAATACCGAGTACAAAGAGTTTGTTTCTCCATGTCTACAATTCGTTTTAGCCACATAGGAATACTACTTTCGAGGATTTTCAAAAGCCTTAATCAGCTCTTCTGAATCACTTTCAAACCCTATTTTTTCAACACCCAAATTGTCTAAGCATTCCATTGCACACGGCATTGTCGTAGCCTCTGCCTCTAGAGGAGACCTAAGCCTTGGCCCATACTATTTTACCTCTCCTTTCTCATCTCTCAATATCAAATCCTATATGCCGTCTCAAATTTTTTAAAGGCCCATGGCGAAAAAAAAAATTGGGCCCCTATTCCTTTAAAAAAATTGAAAAATTTGGCGCGGACCCAGAGCGTAAACTCACTGGCCACCCCTTAGAGCCGGCATTGCCTATACCATCTCTGAATTTTATTTTTATGAACCGTCTATATAACATTTTAAAATATTTTATGGAAGATGAATCCATTTCACCAAAGGATGTAAAGAGAGGACAATCACTAAAGTCTTAGCTTTGGAAATGTCTGCTATTTGTAAGAAATTACTTGATTATATTCTTTTCGAAAACCAATAAAAAATATACAGTATTATATAAATATACCTTAAATGGCTAAGCCATGGTCTATAATTTTAAAAAATTAACAAAAGTAGTCTACTACTATCTAGACCATCAATTCTATATCTTTAACTCTAAAAAACCTAAACCTAAACAATAATCTATTCTTTTCTTTTCTTTTTTAAAAATGTAGTCTATTTGAAAAAAGTTAGATTACTTTACTAATTATCCTCTTTTACAACTCCAACTAGTTTGATTTTAAGGTGGCGTTGAAAAGATGTATGTATGTACATACGTAACATGAAGAAAGATTATTTTGTGGCCGCGAGAATTCAAAACAGAAAGCGACTTAACGAGTTTAAGTTCTTTCGATTATGTAATACTGTTTATATATATTTAAGAAAAAACATAGATTATACACGTGATTATCTTTGCTCTAATAAAATGTCAAATGTAAAATGGACCAATGTCAAAAGCAACCTCTATTGATGCTACCAGACTCCACGGCTGCCACAAAATAAACATCTCATTTTTTATATTTTATTTTTATGTTCCTTTTTTTCCAAGTATACTCAAATTTGGGATCCAAAAATTCTTTTATATATATTGAAAACACCTGAAATCATGATTACGTTTCTCTCTTTTTTCGTTTCTTAATCTTATATACATATATTTTTCCTTGATTTAGTCTTTAGTATGGTAAGAACAAGAAAAAATAGAAGTCAAAAGTTCAT